CACACACACACACACACACACACACATGCACACACGCACACACATGCACACACGCGTGCACATGCACACGCGCACACACACGCACATGCACACACACGTGCACATGCACACACACAAACAGCTGCCACCTCCCGGCACCACCCTCCTCTTCAAACTGTACTGACCCCCAGGACTGCCTGGAGGGGACTCCAGAGTGACCATCAGTCAGCTTCCCAGGGGGGAGGGAAGAATACAAGGGGATCCCCAAGTCCTGAGGCGCAACTCCAAAAAGGATGGGGAACCTCCGCGCTGGTGGGGGAGGCCAGGGGACGCCAGCAGGAGTGGCCGTGGGAAGGAGTGAAGGGGTGTCTGTGAACTTCCAGACGGAGGGGGCGCCGTGGCAGGGCCCACAGCGGGGCGGGGTGGAGGGGAGTTTGCAGACGCAGGTACAGAGCAAGGGGGGGGGGGGCACCAGCTCAGTGGGTACCCAGGTCCCTGGGCATCCAAATGCATCCCACGGCCGGACCTCAAGGTAGCCGTGGGTCACACGAGGGTAACCGGGGAGACGGGTGGCCCCAGAATCGGGGACCAAGCTGACCAGGAAAGCCCGGGAGCCCGCAGAGGTGCCCTGAGCAGGTCCCAGGCTCACCAGGCGGAGGAGGTCCTGGAGCCAAATCCCAGAACGCGCCGCTGAGCGGGGAGGTGGAGGCTGACAGCGACGGAGGCGCAACACCGAGTTGGGGGATACCCTACGGGGCCCGGGGGCGCCCCGCGGGGTCCCCCGGACCCCAGGAATCTGCGGCAATGCGCCCGCTCTCCCCAAGTAACCGGAGGCCAGTAGGGGAGCCTCTGATCGCGTCCCCAAGTAGCAGGAACGCCCAGGTGACCGCCGGGCGGCCCGGAAGTGGGGGGCTCCAAGGTGTCGGGGCGGGGACCCCGGGCGCGCAGAGGTCACTTACGCTGCTGTTCTCGCCCGTCCAATGCACCATCGCCTGGTTGTGCGTCGCGTCTCCCTTGAGCACGAACGACGAGCTGGTGAGCGAGACTTGCGCCCGCGAAGTCGCTCCGGTTCCCGGCGCCGCCCG